TCTCTCTCTCTCTCTCTCTCTCTCTCTCTCTCTCTCTCTCTCAAAAAAAACTATAATGTATTACTCACAATATCTACAATATCACTGAAAATGACCAGACATGCAAATTCACAAGAAAGTGTGACCTATATTCAATGAAGAATAAGAAAACTCATATATATAATTTAGCAAATAAGAATTTTAAACCAGATGTTATAAAAATGCTCAAGAGCATAAAGAAAAATCAACAAATGAACAAATAAAAATTATAACACATAAACAAACTATAAAAAAGAAATCAAATAGAGATTCTAGAAGTATAAAAGTAAAATATGAGAAGTAAAGTATCTCTGGTTGCATGCAACAGTAGATTGGAGCTGGGAGAAGAAAGAAAAAGGCTGGAACAGAAAGAAAGATCAGTAGAATTTATCCCATCAGAAGAAGAGAAAATACTAAAAGAAAAACCAGAGTTTCGTGTATCTATGAAACAGTACCAAACAAACTAACATAATAAAGTACATGGAATTTCAAAAATGAATGAGAAAATTAGGCGAGAAAAAATCTGAAGAAATAATTGCTCAAAATTTCCCCCTGCTTGGTTAAAGACATAAATTTATATTCAAGAAGCTCAGTGAACTGTAGGTGGGAGAAGTACAAAGTTTTGAAAACCATTCCTATCATTATGATGGTCAAGTAGCTGAAGAGAAAAATAAAGACCCAATTCTGAAAGCATCAAGATAAACATAATGCATACAAAAAACAACAATACCATATTTATTGAATTATATTTTAAAATAATGGTTGCCAGAAAGAAGTGGAGTGACAGCATTAAAAGACTGAAAAAAAAAGTTCTCAACCTACAATTCTACAGTGAAAATATCTTCCAGGAATGAAAGTAAAGATATTTTCAGAAATATGAAAACTAAGACAAAATTATCATTAGCCAATCAACACTATAAAAAAGTTGAAATTTAGCAGAACACAAAAGAAAAATGATAACAAAGGAATTCTGATCATCAGAAAGAAAAACAACTGTGGGAATGGTAATGTTAAGTCTATTTTTTCTCTCAGTTTCACTGAAATATATTTGATTACTTAAGGCAAAAATTGTAATACTGTGGCTTACAACATATGTAGATATAATATATTTGTAATACATCTTTTTATATCCTGAAAATTTAATCCTTAGCATACCTACTGAAAAAAAGTATGTGAAGTTATCATAAAGAAACCAACAGATACTTAAAATTAATTTCTAAAAAGTTATACAATTAACCCAAAAGAGGGCAATAAGGAGAAAAGAGAAACAAAAAGTACAAATAGAAATAAAAGCCAAAAACATACAGAAAGTAGTTGTCCCATATCCAATCATGTCACAAAATTAATGACCATAATTAAAATATGCAGGCAGAAAGCAAAGATAAAAAAGTAAGACCCAACTGTTTGTTGACAAGAGATACACTTCAAATATATTTATCTTTAAATTTAAAGACACAGACACAATGAAATCAAAAGCAATTGAATTAAAAACAAACAAACAAACAAAAAAACAAAAACAAGAACTGTAAGAAGGCTGGAATGGCTACATCAATCAGATAAAACAGACATCAGGGTGGATACTGATGCCAGTAAGAAAAAGAGAAATTTCATAAACATAAATAGATTATTTCACATCCATGGATTACAAGACTTGATATCATTTAGAAATTCACACCCTAAATGGATATAAGCAATCAATTCAATCCCTTTCAACATGCCACCAACCATTTCTTTTTTTCTTTTTTCTGCTTCTGCTAAAATGTTTATAGAAATACAAAGGATATAACATACCCAAACAGATTAAAAATAACAGTTTTAGAATTTATACTACTATAAAGCTATAGTAATCAAGATGGGAAATCAATACTGACAAACCAATGAAACAGTTGAATTCCCCAAAATAAATTCATATAGATACATGGTCATTTGATTTTCTTTTCAATAAAGCTGTCAAACAATGAGAAAAAAAGAACAAAAAGTTCTGCAGTAACTAGATATCCATATGTAAAAACCAGATGTGGCCTCAACTTATACATATACAAAACTTAATTTGCCCAAATTAATAAAACTAAAGCAAGAACTAAAACTATAAAATATCACCCTGACTTGGGTTAGGACCCATTAAGACTTCTTCAGAAATTCAGAACTTGTGCTCATCAAAAGATACCATTAAGACAATAAACGGTATGCTATAAACTGGGAAAATATATGAAAAGTATATATTTGACAAAGGACAATTCAAGATATATAAAAAACTCCTATAAATTGATAGCTGGGCATGGAGGTGCATGCCTGTAATTTCAGCCACTTGGGAAGCTGAGGCAGGAGTATTGCAAGTTTTGCATCAGCCTCAACAATTTAGCAAGACACTGTCTCAAAATAAAAAAACAAAAAGGACTGGATAAAAAGCTAAGGGTAAAGCACCCCTGGCCTGGGTTCAGTCTAGTACCAAAAAAACACCAAAAATAAAAATTGACAAAAAATCCCTATGAATTGGTAATGAAAGTCAACATGACCTCCCCCAACAAAACATAATAAAACAAAAAATAAAAACCTGAATAAAGAATTTGAACAGCTATTTCTCAGAGGAAGCTATATGAATGAAAAAGCAGTAAATGGAAAAAAAAGTGTTTAACATCGTTAGGGAAATGCACAAACTATTGTTACCACTAAATTTTCAATAGAATGGCTGGAGGTAAAAACAATGACAACATAAAATGTTTATCAGGATGTGGAACAACTGGAATTCTTAAATATTGTTCGTGGAAGTATAATATGGTTCAATCCTTTTGGGAAAAAAAAAGGTCTTGCAGTTTCTTTAAAAATCAAAAATACATAACTCTACCACCAAGTAATTTTCTTCTTAGCTGTCTACCTAAAAGAAATGACAACATTTGTATTTAAAGAGTAACACAGAAATATCCTAACAGATTTATTCACATTACCTGAAACACTGGTGATATTCCAAGTATCCACCAACAAAAGAATGAATAAGTTGACATATTCACATAATGAAATATTCATCAGTAATAAAGAGGACTACATTATACTGAAAAACAAATTTTAAAAAAACCTCCTAAGTAAAAGAATTTCGTACAAAAGAGTACATATTATATTTTGCTTATTTAAAGTTCTAGAATATAATAAACCAATCTATAGTAAAAAATTGTTTAACAGTGGTTACTTTTCAGAAGATAGTGGCAATAATTGGGAGAAAAAATGAAGGAACTTTCTGAGCTGATGGTAATGTTCTGTATCTTGAAAGGGTTTTGGAAAAACATAGGTTAATGTATTTGTCAAAATTATATTTTTGTAGTACATATAAGAATCAAGGGGCTGGAGTTGTAGCTCAGTGTTATAGGGCTCGCCTAGCATGCATGAAGCACTGGTTTCGATCCTCAGCACCACATAGAAATAGAGGTGAAGATATTGTGTCCATTTGAAGCTAAAAAAATATTTTAAAAAAAGAATCAAATGGTTCACTGAGCATAAATTTTACCTTAAAAAAAAGGAACCATAAATTATAAACAATAAACTGTTTAGGTATAAAATGCACTGATGTCCGCAACTTATTTTGTAATGTATCATTAAAAAGAATGAAACTACAGAATAAAGGGGATGATTAGATAAATAGATATAGTAAATGTTATACAGTAAATATGTAGTTAATAAATATACTTAAATGTTAATTACAGAATCTGGATGGTAGATATGAAGTGTTTATAATTCTTTTATCTTCTATATGTTTGAAGATTTTTATAGTAAAATTTTAGAGAAACTCAGCATCCTCTTTATCCAGATTACAGTTGTTTAAAAGTTTAAGTAGAACTCATTGAAAATGGGTGAATGTAAATTGGGTAATTCTAATATTTTGAGTTGAGAGGAAAAACCGTACATTTTTCCTGTCTCTGAAAGAAACTTAAAGGCTCTTTTCACTCTGTACCAGGAAAAAAAAAAAATCATCACTGACCTTTTTTCTCTTCCTCTGCTTGGTTTTAGTGGAGTCCTGTGTAGCACTCCCACTCCCTAGGGATCCTGATGTGGTTCTCCCTGAGTGCTGGGATCCAGATGATGGAGCTGTTGGTGTAGGAGGTGGTGTGTTCTCAGGGGAGTCGGGGCAGGACTTCATGCAAGACCCCTGCCCAAAGAGACATGGCTTTGTAATAAATAACCAGGCCCTTTACTAACACTACAATTTTAAAAAAACATAGCTAATAAATTTCATGTTACTTATGACTTTCAAATATGAAAACACAAATTATTCCTATGTAGTCAATAGAAATGACTATCTTGTTGTTGAGGTTCTAAATACATTAATTTTTAATCTAATTATTTAGACAAAATCAGAATTCTTCATGTATAAACTTTTAGCCTCTGGTTTTGTTAGATAGATGGAAATTTTGTTAGCATTTCAAACTTAGCTGTCTCACAAGTTTCCTTAAAATGATGCTTTTTAGATGATATTTGTGACAATGGTGACTAGAATTTTCCCAGTAACTCAAACTCACCCTTAGAGTCACTGAGGATTACTCTAGTCCTTTCCACATGCAATGTCTTCCTTTCTTCCTTTCCTTTCTGATATCCCTCATAACTATCTACTTTCTTGGGTCATGAATGCATGTCTGTCCTTTCTTTCATGTAGAAGCACTTCAATATTGAAGACTGCTATACATTGTAGCCTCATTTTTATGGTTAAATATTCTAAATAATTCCAACCAGTTATTACTAGATGTGCTTTTATGCTCCTTCAAACACACCATCTCCATTACTTTCCTTTAGACATTCTGTACCAGGTAAATGTCAATCCAATAAGGATGGCACCTAAAATAAATTAGACTAAAAAAAATCTTTGTTGCATCACAATATTGCTATCTCAGACATATACAAGCAAAAAAAAGTCTGTCATTTTTTTAGTATAATATGATTAATCTAAACATTCCTCATCCTATCAACCATACCAGCCATACTATCTACTGTCCATGATTTCTATAATGTATTAAAAACTTATGCCACACTTTGTAAAATGATTTGCTGAAAATTTGGATGCTGGTTTTAAAGAGTATTTCCTTGATCTTTTCGAGAACCACTGTTAAACAAAAGGGAATGAGGCTAACCTGCCATGACTTGTTCCTGGAAAAACAAGATACAGGTTGAGTATCTCTTTATTCAAAATGCTTGGAACAGAAGTGTCTCATATTTGAATTTTTTTTTCTTTTGGAATATTTGCATAGCTCTTAGGGATCATAGCTACCTCTGTACAAATCATATGTTAGGACAAAACCTGGAAAATTAACTTGAATTAATATTAAATTTGCTAATCTAGTATGAGGAACCCAAGCTTAACTTGCTCAATCCCATCTATGGTTAGTATTCAAGAATGATCTTCCTTTAAATGTAAGGCATTGAACATTAACATCATGATTCTGAGTTTTCAATTCCAATCAACTAAACATAGCACAATCATTTGGATCTTCTTAAAACATCCTTTTGAACACATTATCCTTCAGCCAAGAATTATTCAAATTCTTCTTAATGATTCCTGCACTCTAAGACCCTATATAATCTGGGCCATGATTTTCTAACCAAACCTGCTATATCCCTTCTCAATGAATGTTTTGCTTGAATATTTCAATCAGAGTTGTTTTTTTTCCTCCCATGTATAATCATACTTATGCTTCATCCCAGGCCCAGAACATCTTCCCCACTTTGAGGTTCTCATTCCTTCAATACTCAGCTTTCTGACTGTAACTGGGGAATGTGTGTGTGTTTGTGTGTGAGTGAGGGAAGAGAGAGAGAATCAGAGATTTTATTTCAACCCCTGCACTCTGTTTGGTCCACTCATTTCGTTACGTTTTCTTGAATTGTTTGTTCATTTATTTGCTTGTTTGTTTTACAAAATGTTCTGTTTCCCTGAACACAGCTCCTATTAGTCTCCAGAGACCTCTTTGGACCCAGTTTGGTACATTACTTAAGGTGCAGGTCCTAGAGATTGGCTGCTGATTTGCAGTGTTGATGACTAAGATTTCTGATTTATAGTATCATTCTCTTTGTGTTTCATTAGGTAATAAAGGGCAGTAAAGAAGACAGTCTTTATGAATGTCCAATTTGACTGCCAGTCACAGAGGAAGAAATGTATCTGCCAGGCCAGGAAAAGCTTGAGGCTTATACTAATAATCTGTAAGGATGCTCAATGACACTCATGTTCCCACCTCCCAGAGAGCCCAGGAAATCCAGCATACATAGGACATTTTTTTCTTAACTGCCATGTAGCTGGGAACAGAGGCTGTGGTTGCTGAGTAGTTGCCCAAGGCAGCTTGGCCACCCTGGAGAACCAAGCAGGGTGGGGACACAAAGAACCTTCCTAGCCATGCAAGCAATCACTTGAATGTTAAGGGAAAACTAGCCTTGTTATGTTCACAGTAAATTTCCTCAATTAGAAATGTTAAGACAAATTTGTCTGATGTTAATGGAAAGCATACTTATATACACATTCATAAAGTGAATGTGCATCAAAGACATTTTAAAGGGTGTTCTTTGACATCATAATTTGGGTTTGAAACATAAAGAAAACAGTGTTTAATCAACTAAGTAAGCTTTAGGGATTTTTAAAGTATGTTGGCTGATAATAATGTATGACCTTTTCCAAGAAAAGAAATGGTTTTTTAATGGGCATAAACATTTAATTCCTACTTGGATTTCAAGCCAATCTGATTCTCCAAGAGGTATAAAAAGACATCAAGTTGACTTTTTATGTAATAAAAGTATGTAATAAGATGATATCTTAATATATTTTCTAAATACCGTAAAGTAAGATATTTAAACCTGGGATTCATAGGGTTTATAGATTCCTTAGATCATAGATGAATTCAGAAGTGTCTGAAAAACATAAAATTGTATGCAAAATTGGCAAATATGTTTATGAAAAAGAGGTTTTTAGTCTTCATCAGATTCTCAAGAGGTGTGGCCTAAAACAAATTAGAATTATTTCCTAGAAACTATTTTAGTCATCAGTCTAGATATTAACAAGGAGCAGACATTTATAATGTTAGGTACAGATATAACACAGGGCTTTGTAATTTTCAAACAGGTTAAACATTTCACTTCACGTGATCTAAAATCCACTTTGCCATCATACATTTGGATGTTACTATTTTTGATGTCTTTTCTATAGTTATTGACTTAACTGTAAGAAACTACTGTTTTTGTTAGCAAAAAAGAGGTCAGATACTAGCAAATATATTCAACATGTTATATTTTATTTCTGGCTTTTAAGCACATGCTGTTTACAGAAAATATTCGATATACTAAAAGTTGTGGAAAATTACTATGTAAATGTTTAAAACTGGAAAGAAGACTTTATAGTCCCCATAAATAGGAAGCCCATCAGCGTAAATAGATCAGAAAAGAATCTGATTTTTACATGATGGGCTAATCTAAAGCTAATGAGCCAAGGGTGTTTAAATCATGTTTATAGATGAATCAATAAATTAAATGGGAAGCTTTTAATAAATTTCAATAAATGTTAGTAATTATATAAATAATAATTCTCTAATTTATGGGTAGGTGCTGGGGACTGAACCAAGGGCCTTCTGCATGCTAGGAAAGCACTCTTCTACCACCCAGCTACATCCCAGCCAAATTCTATCATCTTTGAGGCAAAAAGAAATAATTTTTTCCCAATGTTATTCAATTAACTAAACCAGTTGTTTATTTTCTGTGGAAATGAAAAATGCTTTGCAAATATCCCATCTTTACTGAAGGTCTAGGAAAGTCAAGTGAGGAAAAGAAAAATTGAAACAAAAATTGTTCTAGTAAGCAGACTGTTAAGTCCTAGCATATAGTAAGTTCTCAATAAATGTTTATTTGGTGTATGTTTTAAAGTTTTTTTGACTGAAGGCTATACTTTACTAATCTTTTTCAAAGAACTACTAAATAAATACAGATACATAACAAAATTCACCAATGTCTTAAAGTCAGATTTTCTGATACTTACCTCAACAGAGTTGTGATACTGAATGAAAGTTGCAGAAATGGCATGACTGAAGGGGTCCCCTGCTTTGGTTATCATGTCCTGTCTCACAAGAAGAGCCAGATCCACTAACTAGAAGATCAGAGCAATGAAAATAATGAATACCATTAAAGTGGTGAACCTAAAAGCAATACATTCAAAATGTTATTGATAATACTTTATCTAAAAATCTGTATTGTGGATATGAGCACAGACTTTCACTAATTGATAAAATTCATGACCTACTTATGAATACAAATGATATATTCTGACTTTCTAGGGAAGTAATTCTCAAAGCTCATTTCAGAATCAGTAGGGAAGCATTTTAAAATATAGATTTTTGGGCTATAAGCCCATAGATTCTAGTTTAGTAGGTCTGTTCTAAGTGGGTAGTCTGGGAGTTCCCACTGTAAACATGTACAGAGGGGATGGTAATACTTGGAGAAACTGGCAGATGGCAGTGATCCCAGATCCAGATTTTGTTGAGCACTAGGAGACCTCACATACCTAGACAGGCATTTTTCCAAACTTCAAACAGTATCTCTAAAGGCAGGTGAGGACTTCAGAGTTCAATTTCAAGAACAATTAGAGGGGCTTCAGTTGTGGCTCAGTGGTACAGAGTTTACCTAGCAAGTGTGAGGCACTGGGTTGGATCCTCAGCATAAAAATAAATAAATAAATGAATAAAATAAAGGTATTGTGTCCATCTACAATAAAAAAACTATTAAAAAAAGAATAATTAGAATCTTTTTCTATCCTAACACCCACCAGAGCTAAGGATACAAAGAAACATAACTGAACTAAATTCTAGTAAATGATATAACTGTCACAGAAAAGAATTCATGGATGGGAGAGCAGAGGGTGTAAGTAGAACTGATCAAGGACAGAAATGAGAAACCAGCCCTGTGTGGTTTGACAGTTTAGAATTTTTACCTGTGCCACTGTTTCATATGCTAAATAAGCTAAAATTTCCATAGCGACAACGTTGGGTTTTATCTCCATGCTGCTGCAGTCCAACCAGTCTCGAAATTTGGAAGCTTTTTTGGCTAGTCATTAAAAAACAAGTGGAAAAATTTAATTTTTAAAGTATCTTAATACTGCATATACAATCATAAATTGAAAAACACCTTTCCTGAGAATTGTATACAAAGAATAATGCCCATAAAAGCAAAGCAATGTTTTGACCTTGAGGTTTTCTAGACCCAAGAAATACAAGTTTTGCCAGGTGCAGTAGGTCTCAAATACCAGAGACCCAGGAGGCTGAGGTAGAGGATTGGCAAGTTCAAGGCCAGCCTCAGCAACTTAGGGAAATCCTAAGCAACTCAGCAAGACCCTGTTTCAAAATTCAAAATTAAAAAAGGCTAGGGATATGATTCAGTGGTTAAATGCCCCTGGGTTCAATCTCTGGTACATCCCCTGCCCATCCAAGGTAAGGAAAAGATGTACAAGTTTCATCCCTTGATTACAACGCAACACAATGGCTGCCTTTAAGAAATCCCTATGCATTTATTCTGTATCTGTGGTACATGACAGTATACTAAACTACTTAAAGTTTAGTACTTTTCATATTGCTTCAAAATATGTTACCACTGGCCACTGCTTAAGTTGCATCAACAGAGATTTGTTTGATGTAACGTTTTTGTTTTTTATTATTTTAATTTATTTATTTTGGTATTCAGGGGTGCTTAACCACTAAGTCACATTGCAGCCTTTTTAAATCTCTAAGTTGATTAGGGGTCTCTTTTGTTGCTGACACTGGCTTCAAACTTGCAATCCTCCTGTCTCAGCCTCCAGAGTCACTGGGATTACAGGCATGCACTATCATGCTAGCTTGATGTAACTTTAATTTATACTCGTGGAAATAAAAAACTAGGAGAAAGCCTATGATGAAGAAAGAAACATACAGAAACTGCCCATCCAATACTTTTCAAAATGTGTCTATTATACGAAAAAATTCAAAGTTGTGAATTCATTTATTTATTTTTATTTATATATGACAGTGGAATGCATTATAATTCTTATTACACATATAGAGCACAATTTTTCATATCTCTGGTTGTATACAAAGTATATTCACACCAATTCGTGTTTTCATACATGTACTCTGGATAATAATGATCATCACATTCCACCATCATTAACAACCCCATGCCTTCTGCCTTCCCCTTTATTTAATTTAGAATAAAATAAATTGATATCTGGCCTGATTTAAACTTGTAGCTATGTTTTCTGGATTAAGATGCCCAAATTCTTAAACCTGACTCTCAAAACTATTTAGGCTGATTCCAGCCTTTCTTTACATTGCTTCCCTATTTAGCTGTCATGTGGCCTTGGGTTTAGCCCTTTTTATGGTCATTCTTGCTCCTTTCCTTCCATGGATTGCTCTCCCATCTCTCTTCATCATTCATATGAATTCTGACCATATAAGTCATGGATATACTTTCACACTCTAGCCATGTATTGAAATACAGGGTATTTTTCATATGTGCTTATCATTTTTTCAAACCATATTATAAGTTCTTTGTGGCCAAAGATCATGAATCAGGTCTCTCTGCAGACCTAACAGTACCAAGCATATATGGGACCAAGAAACATAAGGGACCTTCAATTAACTATATCCAAACTGCCATAGTACTAAGAAAAATCTAATTTGATATAGAGCTTTCCCTAGACATTACTAATTTAAATAGAACCCTAGAGGGAAAATGATTGATTGGGAATTTTTTTTTTATCAAATCTACATGATCTTTAAAAAAAGCTACTTATTATTCTAGGGAAATTTTTTTTTTTTATCAAATCTACATGATCTTTAAAAAAAGCTACTTATTTTTCTTTAGATTAACATCATCCCACTGGTCTACAGAACACTTAATAACTTAGAGCATAGCATTTTGAACCTTACAGACAGAATCTTCATGGATTCCATATACAGAAGAGTTTTGTTTTAAATAAATCACAGAAGACATGAAATCCTGCTATATCTAAAGCTGTCAAATGTGGCAGAATTATGATTAGCCCCCTTAAAGTTATCTCCCTACAGTAACTCATCTTCTACATATTCAGACATGAAACATTCCATCTATCTAGTAAGCTGCAGCAGCTCATGAACACTTGCTAGACATCTCTGAAATACTTCTGACAGAATTAAAGTCACCAGGAAGCAATCTGGCAAGATCAATGAAAAGTACCTTATTTACTTCTCCTTTTGGCAGATCATTAGGAACACAGAAACAGATATTTAGTGACTATGCTCTAAAAATTTTACTTTGAAAGTTATGAAAAGGATGATTATTAGTATTAGGTCAGACCTATGCATAGAAGCAAAAGAATTAATAGCTTCCTTACTAGACTATAAGCACAGAAACTAGGACTATGACTTCACCACTGTATCCTCAGAAAATAAAATAATGCCTTTCCTTGGCAGACTCACAAGAAAGTATTTCTAAAGGAAATGAAGAAAGGAAAGAAAAAGATATTTCTTTAACAAAAAGGCAGAGTCCAAACTTTTCTATGTATCAAAAAAGATGCACAGATTTCCTATAAACCACTTGCATTATTGCTGTTCCATCAACAAGTGAACGAACATTCTCTGAGCTATTTGTTCCCTGTCATCTGGGAAAGGACTGCTTCAGAGACTGGTGCTTCCAGGATATTATTGATTTTACCAAAAGCAGCACAATGATCCCCAGCTGTAGCAGTTCATTTTCACCAAGAGCTGAAGGAGCTTCTAAACAAATGAGTTTCTTCTTTACTCCTCTTCCCCATATATCAGGAAAATGGGTAATCTGGAAACTGACTAATAATTTAAGTAGAATTCTGAACAATGTCCAAAAGTTCTAGTGTTATCAGCTTTCTAATACTAGACTACACTTAGAACAATTTTACATTATAATTTCATACAGAAATTTAAGGTTAATCTCAAACACTTTTTATATCTCTTATCAATAATTACTAGCCAAATTTAAGTTTCTAACAAAATTCTTTTCTCCCACCCCTGCCTAATATTTCATGATTTCTACTACATCTGTTCTCACCAAGAATTCTGTGACTTCAACCCTTTGAAATTACTATTCTTTGCATTGATTGAAAATAGCCTTCCTCAAGGGTAAGATTTCCTCTGGAACCTCCAGAGTAAGGGTTCCTTATTCCCTTCTTTCTATATGTCTTCAATGGGCAGCTATGGTTGGTTATCTAGCCTGGTCATTTCCTTACAATAGAGGGCCTTCAGGCAATGTCTTCATTCTCTTGAAGCTACTCTCACAAGAAAAATACAGAATAAGTCAATGGACAGCAGTTTTCTAACAGAGGCAAAAAGAGAATGGAATCATATATATCAAATAACTATAATACACAATTTCCTGCCCACCTGATAATCATTTAATTATGGCAAGAAAATAAAGCCATTTCAAGACAAAAATGAGTACTTTGATCACTCAGAGTCTCAGGAATAATGACATTAGGCTCAAAGGAAAGTTTAAATTATTAATATTTAAAAATATTATCAGGGGTATAAATTTAAAAAATAAAGGTAGTTATTGAAATGGCACAATATAATATAAGATAAATAAACTAGTAGAGAAAAACTGAAATGAATAAAACCATATGAATCCAACAGAACACAGAAAAGGAGGAGGAAAAATAAATAAAAACACATAGTACATTTAAAACACAAAATATAACAGTACATATAAAATCAAATGTAGATACAATTTGAACTCATCAGTTAAAAGAGACTCTTTGATCTGATTGATTTTAAAAATCTAGGTAATAACTGTTCAGAAAAAAATAAAAATAATGCTTGAAAGAACTGCAATATGATTTGCCAGAAAAACCGTTGTGAGTCAATGCTAATGTTAAGTTTTAAAAGATTTAGCCAGTGGGGGTACACACACCTGTAATCCTGGAAACTTGGGAGGCTGAGGCAGGAGGATCATAAGTTTAAGATCAGCTTCAGCAACTTAGACCCTGTCTCAAACAAAAAGTGGGGGGTGGTTTGGGATGTGGCTCTGGGTTCATTTCCCAGTACTTAAAAAAAAAACAAAACAAAAAAAAACCGAGAGACACACAGAAAGACAGACAGACATGTGGGGACGAGTGCATGGAGTACTGCATACATGGCATACATTAAGGGCTTCTGAGTGGCAAAACATCCTCCCATGCTAGGCATGTAAGTGGCAAACCACTTACCCCGTAGGCACAGCCCTGAGCATGAAGCCACGTGTTGCAGTCCCTGCACTTGCTATATACCTGCTCCTCGATTGGTCACTGCAGGAACAGTTGGCCAGAAATTGTATTGGTGGCTGCTTGTAATCTGCTTAGCTACTGCCTGAATATATATACATGGTAACTGCGCAATAAATCAGACCTGCTTCCTGCTTGGTCTCTGGAGGTCTTGATTAGCGACTCTGCAGCCACATTCTCCTCTACCCTGTTCCGTGGACCTCCTCGCTGAATGAGAAAGAGCCCACGCACAGAAACAAGGGGTGGGAGGTGTTAAAGACTTTAAGTAAAATGACTATCTGAATTATATAAATATACAAACAAAAGACAGACCAAGAGCCTTAGTCATAATTGAACTCATGCTGTAAGGATGTTTTGCTCCATTGCCCAAAAAGTAATACTCACTATTTTAAAATAATACCAGTAACTGCCATGAACAAGTATGTAAGAAGACATATATGGTAGAATAACAATTCCTATATTCTGGTGATTATTTATCAGGAGAAGAAGGAAAAAAACCTAACTTTCTAACCAGTACAGCAATGGCTTTCTAAATTTGGTGACTCACTTGTACAATGTATTCTCAACCTCAGTATTCCATCATATAAAACAGATCATTCCATCAAGGTTTCATAATGAAGCCTCTATGGACACCATTTGAACAAATATTTTTAAATAATGAATTCCTTCTTTCCTACAGAAAAGAAAATTAAGCATAGTGTATTGTTTATATTACAATTATTTTATTGGGGCTGACTTTGTGGCTCAGCGGTAGAGCCCTTGCCTAGCACGTGCAAGACTCTGGGTTTCGATCCTCAGCACCATATAAAAATAAATAAAATAAGGTATTGTGTCCAACTACAACTAAAAAAAATCTTTTTAAAACACAATTATTTTATAGAGGGGAAAATGTTACTTTTAATCTAGTTTTTGTGTTAAAAGCAAAAAGTGAACAAAAATCTAATTTTCAAATGAAAGGTATGAGAATTTAAGATTGTCAGTTTTAGTGTAAAATACTACTTCCACTCCTTTAAGTGAATTAAATTTAAAATATGATTTAAAAAATAGTTATATTGCACCAAATGTTATTTTATAAAGTGGAGATTTATAGTTATAAAAGACTTGAATGCCATTTTTAAACCTAAAAATTACGATACAAGAACCTCTCATTTGCTGAAATTGCCATGATCTGAAGTGTCATTTACTTAATGTTTCACAGATGCATGCCAAGTTGTTAGTCAGATTGGAAAGTATATTTAGTTAGAAAAAAAAATCTTTCAAAACATGTTTTCCTATATTTTTCTGACATTTACATGGGGCACTGTTTGAAATGTGTCATTCATTTGTACTTTATGATCTATAAATGAAGCTTTCATTTTTTTCCAAATCAAATACTTTGTTATTATGATCAGATAATAGCTTTTTGTTTAAAGACATCATTGTTTCTATAATCCGTCAAATCAATGTCATGTGCTAATTTGTCATATTTTTAACTGGACTTTTCATCACACTTTCACTCTGACCTTTACCCCAAGAGCCTTAGTCATCACTGAACAGTTGCTGTGAAGATGTTTTGCTCCATAATCCAGTTCACTATGATGAGTCTTTATGTACTTTTAATAAGCTGGTATTCAATGTTGGGTAAGCACTAATAATACTGGTAGGTCATTCATGTTAGGAGAGCATGGACTAATGAATGTGGTAATGCTGAATGCATGCCACAGCAGGAGGTTAAAGACAAAAATGGAAAAGACTATTGATATGCTCATTTGTGGAAATATGAGTATGCATAAAGACAAAGTTTGGTATTATAATTAATACTGGGGGCGTTTAAATGTCATGACTGTACTACTGGAGTGCATTATGGATCAATTAGAGTCAGCAACACTAGCATAAATATGACTAAGAAACTGGAAAAGAAATTAAAATGAAAATTTTTCTGACTAAAGGTAATATGAATAATTAACATAACTCTGTATATTACTAGTGCCCTTTAAAATCTCTTAATAGTATTAACTGCAAAACAGTAGAATGTTGTAAAATCTTTAGGTTTCCCCAAAACGCAAGTTGTTCTGTAACAGCAACTATGTATATATTAAATACACCAATTTCTAAGGAATAAAGAACATGTCAGTTTTATGCATCTGTAACACAAATCTCTTATACATTAACATATAATTAAGTAGTTAAATGCATACTTACAGAAGCTTAATTGTCGACTTTCACAAAACTCTGCGTATTGAGCTGAATCCATACTTCGTGTCTGTCTTTCTGCCCTCTAATGAAAAAAAAATGAAAAGACAAAACATTTTCAAGGAAGTAGACTATTACATACATTTTCACAGCTAAAACTTAAGTTTGAAATATTATTCTGCTTTCCTTACCCCAGGCAAATAAAGTTAAGTACTACCAAGTGCTACATTATATACTATGACACATATGAAAAGTAACAGTAGTTGTGAAACTTGCTTCTTTTGGAAATAAAGTTTAAAATTTTATTTCTACTTCGTTATTGAAACTAAAACTAAAAGACCAAATTTCTTAAGACTATGTACTTCTAAATTTTCTTACTAGACCATCCTTTTAAAGGGAAAAAAAAAACTGTTAGGGGATAATAAACCAACAAACCAAACAAAATATTAGTAACTGTTATTGTTCATCTGCTTTAAAGCTGTAATTTTTTCAATGTTAGTCAATGGACTCAGCAAATGAAATCCATATTTCCCCTTAGAACTTGGTGCCACAGTTAACAAATCCTTTTTAAACTGCAAAGGAAAAAGAAAAAAAAGGTAGTAAACACAATACAGATCCTTTAATCTGAGTCCAGGTATGATTCAGAGTTTGGTATAGTTTCATTCGTGGGTTTTTTGATTCAGTATAGCAGATGTTTGCTGCTTCATTGTCCCACAAGAGGTAGGATAATTATAATTCACCCATGGTTTGGTGGGAAAGAATATGACCACTTCCGCTTCCTTGGTAAGGAGAGCATTTTGAAACGAGACAGGCTGGTACTTCTTGGAATGGGTTTCTGGCCTGCAGAGGAAAAAAATCCCTGAGATTTAACTTTTTTTTTCCCTGCTGTGGAAGGACTTTTAGCAAGTTATCTTTATCACAGTTGTTAGAGAGCCCTTATCCTCTAATGTCTGTGAATATTTTTGTATTTTTAAAACTGAAGTCATTCTTTTTTCTTTTTGTTTAATTTTAGTGGGTAGTCAATTTTCACTGATAACATCAGCTGATAGGCTGAATAATGGTGTACTAGCTAGAGCTCTGCAGAAAACAAGTATAGGGTGGTAGAAGTTATAGTGAAAATTAGTAACTACTGTGGTTCCTTCTAAGAACACTGTTTATTCCCTTCCTTATCTTTTCCCTTTGCCCTCCTTCTCACTTATTTTGCCTTGCATCCACCCACCCCCATACTTATTCACAAACATACACATGTGCAGGCATAAACCTAGATTTCTCATGTTTATTTACCCTCTAGGTTCAAGTGACTTTTTGGAGCATATACAAGCAAATATTTTATGTATATGAAGTGTACACAAAAACACATTTGTATATGCAGATGACTGCATATGTATTCTCTTGTGTATGCATCAGACGTACCATCCTTAAGGATATATTATTGGGTGAATATGTGTATACTTAAAAATATTTTTGATATATAAATGCATTATTTAGTTTTGACCTTCTTTTCAATGTATCTGACATGATTCATGATTGCTGATAGAAAACAAAGAAAGAATGGGAAGATTTGTCTGTGTTTTGAACATAAAAAGTAATGAACACTTTTGAATGAACAAATGCTATCATTTTATTCTACAGGGCAAACAATGACTATCACCATAGTGCAGCCAGTCTTTAATTATCTTTGCATTCCTACATAAGTTCTCTGCTGTTCTACTAAACAGCCTCATCTACATGACACGTTTAGACAAAAAGGACTTAGATAAACTAGCTGTGGAAAAGGAGAGAAGGTTCCTAAATGGATTCTTAATGTTTTTTCTTCTACCAAGTTGGATAATCAAAAGTTGGCATCTGTACACATCATTACATAGTTGATGTATCTGCACTAAGTGATTTTAGACATTTAAATCAGGAAAACTTATCCTAAGAAACTAAGGTTGTCAGGATGGCCAGCTTTGAGTGAAGTATTTAACTAGCTGGAACATTTTTGGACTTCAATGCCTACCAATCTGATTACATTTCAGAGATAGCTATAAACATTTGAAGGGTTTTCAATTATTATGGCTAGTTTCATTCCATTCAGAGACCCTCTCCAGTGCCTAACCTCTTTTGTTTCTTAAGCATCTTAATTCTTTTAATTCCTGCAGTATTTAAGCCTTGATCTGAAGGGTATCAGGAAGTTGGCCCCAGAACATTCATAGCAAACTATTTATACAGCACCTAGCACACAGGAAATACTAAATGTAAGGCAGTTGACTCAACAGCAAGGATTTATAGGCATGGTGTACTATAGCTAGAAAGTATCTTAAAGTTTATCTTATTCAATCCTCTTCATTTTAAAAAGACAAGGGAATTGAAGTTCAGAGAGAAATGATTTGCCAAAGGTGACTAACTTAGAACTGAAGCTGAGGACTTCCAATTCCCAAGCTAACTTATTGGAAATATAAAAAAGCTATTTCCAAACAATAGTAATTTTTTTACTCCAATATCTTCCTTGGCTGTTCTATGACCAGGAATCATAGGAACTGTAATCAAATTATATGAATTACAGACAGGGTAGGCAGCTTTTAAACCAATGACCCATTAAAAAAATCAAGTCCCTGAACATATGTTAAATAAGCCTGACTCTTATTTTTTGTGGTATGCAAATTTCCTCTTCATTTGGCCTCTAGTCAGATCACCCATTCAGACTCCAATCCATACTGAAGTGCACACTGGCAGCTCTTTTCTAATCTTGGTACTGTAAGAAATCTCTGGACAAAGTACAAAGGGAAAAATAATCATAAGCCTACTGTAAGAACATGATCAAAATAATAATGCCTCCTCTTTACAAAGAACAGCAAAACCTCTAAGAAGTTTTAATAACTCCATTTTACAACTAAGAACACTATGATTTAGAGAAATTAACAAAAAAAAACTTTCAATGTTTATAGTTAACGAAGAGACAAAGCTAGAGGTAAAACTTAGGCCCTAAGTACACAAAATTTCTTACAAAAAGAATTAGAATCAGGTATGGTTGTGCATGCCCATAATCCCAGCTAATAGGAAGGACAAAGCAAGAAGATTGCAAGTTCAAGGCCAACCTGACAAAACTTACCAAGACCGTCTCAAAATAAAAAATAAAAAGGGCTTGGGATATATGTAGCTTAGTCAAAGAGTGTTTGCCTGTCATGCACAAGGCCCTGGGTACAATTCCTAGTACTGTTAAAAAAAAATAAAGAAAAAAGAAAAACAAGAAAAGAATGACATATATCTATCATATTCACTATTATGAATTTGTATTCCATTTACGTTCTAGCTTATTCTGAACCAAGTATTAGAATACCAACTTAATTTTAAAAGTGTAACTTTAAAGGGAGTTATAAAGTCCATCTGACCATTCTATAGGGTCATGAAACTGGAATAAAAAAAGATAACATGTTGCTAGAATATTAAAAACACAAATCTCGAAAGTAAAAATCACTGAAAATTTATAGCCAGTTTATCCCAGCTTTATTCATATTGAACATTTTCAAATCACACAATATTTTCTTTATCTCAGACTGTCACAAGAATGTAAGGTCATGATCAAACTGGTTGATGGTGTTCTATCTGCAAATTCACTTTATCTTGTGCTTAATATGTCAACTATATCCATTCCCAGGTTTCTTTAGGTGCCCAAAACAGTTTTCTTGAATCTTCCAAAAAATACATAACATACTCATTCTTTCTGTAATTAAATATTATTAGTATTACAATATAGTCAAGTATTGGAAAAACTACTTTTGGAAGAATTATTCCTAAAATTTCCTTTAAACATTAAAAAATATTTTAAAAATTTAACAGAATAAAAGAGATAGCTATGAGAATAGCTATGTTACTATATGCTGACTATCAAGAAGTTATAGTGTTCTCTGGTTATTGTAAAACAAACTTAGAAGGCAGATTTCTATACAGATAAACTCATTTTCTAGGTACTATCTAAATGAAAACAGTAAAGGAAATATCCCTACATATATAGTACTCAGAATAATTTTTTCAATATCTTGAACATAACAGATTTTCAGTATATATTTTTAAATATGAACATTCTGTGAATGGTTCTAACTTTAATTAACATGAAGTTGCTTGCGTCTTTGACAACTACTTTCAGTGAGGACAATCACCATTTGCCCCCCATCCCTAATACCATTCTGATGGTTGATGACTTGTACAGTGTATACATTTAACCTCTCTGACTGCTTTCACTGAAGCATATCAACAGTTACAGAAGCTATGTGCTACCATATCTCTTAGCAGCTTCTTAAGACCTATGACATTCATCTTTCTTCAGTATTAGAATTAGAGAATATAAGTGTCAAATCAAACTGAAAGTTCATCTGCTCTCACTTTGAGAGGATTTTAGTTCATAATGGAGATGATTGAAAATAATGGATTATACAGTTTTGGTTTACACCCAATGTAGCTAAAAATATTAGTTAAGGTGAATGTAAGACTTTTTAACTTTTTAATGTATTTTGAAATAACAAAACTGGGCATAAACCTCATCAGTATGTTTAACTATAATGTACCAATTTAAAAATGTGGGGGGAAAACCCAGTTTGCTATAAAATGCAAGATCACTTTTAGTATGTGGCCATCTTTTACTTTTCAATTATTTAATCAATAAAGATTATGTCAGAGGGCTGGCTGGGGTTGTGGCTCAGCGGTAAAGTGCTCGCCTAGCATGTGTGAGGCCCTGGGTTCAATACTCAGCACTACATATAAATAAATAAAATAAAGGTATTGTGTCCAACTACAACTAAAAAAACTAACATTAAAAAATATTTTTAAAAAGATTATATCAGTATCTGGCAGGGGGATGATTGAGCATAAATTGATTACATATAAAAATATAGGTATTAAAATCAAACTAATATATTTAAAAATGGTTTAATAGCTTTAAAAATTTTAATCTCAATATATTGAGCTAGTAGTTGGGGGAAATTATGTATATATCCTGTCCTGGGATAAAATGTATGCTAAGAAAAGTATCCTTTAAAAAAATAATATAGTATTATACAGTCTAATTTCATGTTTAGTTGTAAATTCACATTTAGCGTAATAAGCTTT